TTCTATTGGACCAGATTATGGGCAACTCTACCGGTTTCCCCATAGCCGGTAAAAGTAAAACCAAACTATTTGGGACAATATTTCCTCCAGAAGCCTCCCAGCAGTATATGGATAATTAGGAATCAACATTTGGAATCTCAGATGTCAACTAAGATTCTCACCAATTTAAGACATTATCTCCCCATGGTCATATTAGGATAAAGGGAACATGATCTGAGCCGCCATGTAAGGTTGCACAGTGTGTGTACTACCCAAAGGTGCCCAGCCAGGGATTAAGAACTGACTAATATTCACTTTTCTGTGCCATTTAGTTATGAAGCCATTTACTCAAGGTGCTCTGCCTTCCCAGAGAGGGGGTCTTTGTCCATTTGCACAAAGATTCCCTATAGGCCAGAGATCTTGACTTTGGGTGATCATTCAGATTCTGCCAGTGGTAGGGGAAGAGGTGGAGGCATGCAGAGCCATGGCTCTCTCTTTCTGCCCTAGTCCAGGACAACCACCTCAGAGGCTGCAGACTCTTCCAGCACCCTTTCTTGCCTCCCTCGCTTCCTTCTCACACATTTTTCATGCCCCATCTTTTTCTACCCCTTCATTCTTTTTTTCCCCTCTTCCCTTCCCCCTAGCTCTTTCCCTCTCATCTTTGCCTGCCCTTTCCTCCCACTCTTAAGAGACAGACTCATGCACAGGAGCCATCTCTGTTCCCCTGTGACCTCTTCCTTGATCCCTAGTCATCAGTGGCAGCCCTGTAATCACTTGGGAGTTCTTGCTCATGGTCAATTCTGGACACAACTACAAAGTAATCGAAGTCTTACTTTTTGTCTTATCCTTTTATCATTCTGTCTGACACCCCTCTCTCCCTGGTGACCAGGGTCCAGGACCCATGCAGACAGACCTAGTGGTCTGTTTGACTTATCTTATGGTGTCACTGGTCAACTGTGTTACCTCAGTCAGATGTGTTATCATTTTGTTTGTTTGTTTGGTTGGTTGGTTTTGATTTTTGTTTCTCTGTGTGTGTGTGTGTGTGTGTGTGTGTGTGTTTGGGTTTTTAGATGCATAATCATTTAAAAGGATGGTGCCTGGGATACTGTAATTTAGTCTCAAGGAGAGAATCTCAAATGGGAGAATTTCAGGCAGCATTCTGGCTGAGATAAATGATCAAGAATTTTTTGATAGAATAACACCTCAAAAGCATGCACATTCTACCTTTCTTTCAGGAATTTTTCACAGACAGACTTTTAAAGAATGTCCAGCCTTGGGGCTCCTGGGTAGCTCAGTCTGTTGAGCGTCCAACTTTGGTTCGGGTCATGATCTTGCACTTTAGGGGTTCAAGCCCCTTATTGGGCTCTGTGCTGACAGCCCAGAACCTGGGCTGAAGCCTGCTTCAGACTCTATGTCTCCCTCTCTCTCTGCCACTCACCTGCTCACTCTCTCTCTCTTAAAAATAAATAAAAATAAAACATTAAAAAAATTTTAATATCCAGCCTCTATGCTTGCCTCTCTTTCTCCTTGCTACTTATATAGTTGAGATTGCAATCTTTTCTCCAGAGGGCTCCTATCAGAGCTTTCAAACTGACTGTCCCACAAGGCATAATGATCATTTTCTCAACCAGGCTGGCCCACTGTCTCTCCTTGGTGGTCCAGCATCCTCTCTTCCTCACATCTCTCACACCCTCCTGATCAATCTTCACCACCCCTGTGCTTTCGGCACCACTGGCCACTGATGACCCTCAAGTTCATCTTCCCACTCTACCATGCAAACTTTTTCCATTTCCCAGTTATTGACACAATCATCCCAGCCACCAAAAAACAAAACAAAACAAAATAAACAAACAAACCAAAAAAGGAGCCACACCCACATTACTTCTTCATTTTCTCTGAATTCCTCCCCAATCTGTCCCTTTCTCTTACCCTCACCCTCACTGCCAATATCTCTCTTGCCGAGACAATTGCAAAGATCCCAACTTGTGGTCCTGTGCTCAGTCTCTCTTTCTCAAATAATCCTTTGCTTGCTGACAGAATGATTTTTCCAAAGTGCAAAGCTGATCAAAGTATTTCCTTAATAGTAGTTCCTCCACTTAAGTATTCCTAAGGCAAGAAAAGTGCAGGGGCTTCCAGCAGGTTTGGGAGGGGCAAGATCTGGAAAGCCCCACTTTTGGCACAAACTTCTTTTTTTAACCCAGTTTTGCAATTTTGCATTCTCTGTATAATGTATCAGTCTTTGTTTTAAAATTAACATAACATTTCCCCAAATCTTCAAGAAAAATTGATTCTGTAGAAAAGTGCATGTTTGGGACGCCTGGGTGGCTCAGTGAGTTAGGCATTGGACTCTTGACTTCAGCTCAGATCATGGTCTCCAAGTTCATGAGATTGAGCCCGGCATTAGGCTCTGTGCTGACAGCATGGAGCCTACTTGGGATTCTCTCTCTCCCTCTCTCTGTCTCTCCCCTGCTCCCACATGTACTCTCTCTCTTTCAAAGTAAATAAATAAACATTTAAAAAAAGGAAGGTGCATATTTACCCTGTGGATTCAGGAACCTTCAGGCCTCCAGTTTGAGAAGCTAGGATCCTAGCTGGAATGCACATTTCTCTGCATATCATACAAGGACCTTCTTGACAAGTGTCTATCTGTCTCTGCAGCTCCAGCCCTCCATCCATCTCCTACCAAAAGAGTCGCACTGAACTTCTTGCAATTCTGTGATCATCATACTGGTTCCCATCTCAGGATGTTTCTTATGCTGTTTTCCTCAAACTAAACTGAGCCCCTCCCCCATCTTTCTACTTAACTTCTAGACCCAGCTCAAGTTATCACCTGCCCTGTGAAGCTCTCCATGACAGACCCTACCAGGCTGAAGTAACTATCCCTCTTTCTGTGCCCCTAAAGTCCACACCTCTCCCATAGCATGTATCTCATTAGATTAGAACTCTTCATTCATGTCTCTCTTCCCCACTGGACTATGGATTGCTTCAGAGAAAGGTCTGTGTCTTATTCATCTTGACCTTCCCAGGACCGGGACCATGCCTGGCACATGCTCAGATAAGAGGTCAATATGGTCAAGACATTTCATCCTAGCACTCTCCAGGGTTGATCTGACTGATCTGAATGACCATAAAGATGTCCCTTTCCCCTCTGTCAATTAGATGGTCCCAGATGGACAAGGACACTCTGGTCAAGGCTTTCCTCTCCTGCTGAATCCTCCTCAGAGCTCTCAAGACCTGACACATAGTAGATTCTCAATGAATATCTATTAAATGTATGGATGAAATAATGATCAGCACTACTGTTCTCTCAAATTAAGCTGGATTATGTTTTCCCAATATTATCTTTCAGAGAATCATAATATCTCTGAATCCCCATGATGTAACAATGTGCCAACACCTACTAGACACTAAAAAAATATGTGTAGTAAATGAATGAATGAACAAATGAAGTAACCTCTTCATGTGTTTTTCTTAAAAGTATATACATGCATTTTCATTTTTCAACCTGACACTTGGCACACTTACCAACCTGTTAGGTACTAGCTTTTCACTTAGAAATAGATTCTGGGCAAATTGGTGATAACTGAAAAATTTTTTGAAAACTTTATCTGTGACCAGTGTGATTGTTTTTTAATTTCAGGCTCTTTTAGGAGTAGAGTTTTTGAGTGGCTTTGATCTCTTCCATAGCTAATATAATATAATGTATAAAAAGATAATCCTCAGAGTAGGACTGTTTTTAAAATATAAATGCTCAATAAATGTGGCACTGCTCTTAAGCATTTGGATAGAACTACATAAAATTTTACTGACGTAGAAAGCTTGGCACCCCACCTACTCCACAGTGAGGGCTCAGTGAGAACTTTGCTCATCATTTATTCATTCCCATCTAGGCTTAAATGTGGAGTTTAAGAGCCAATGCCTCTGGAATATCAGAGCAATGCCCAATTTTCGTTGAGGACAACAATGCCTTTTCCTTAGCCACCATTCAATTATAATCTAGTTGCCAGAGTGATAAAATACACTTCTATTTGGCTAGATATAAGCCAAGTGAATAGAAATTTCAAGCTGGGAAAGATTTTGTCTTGGTCAAAAGTTAAAGTAGTGTTTTCTATTTTTTTTTTCTTATCTTGCACACTTCTACCAGTAAAAAGAAACGGCCAAACATCCCCAATATATGCATAATTATTTATTTATAAATTTTATAGATTTTTTACCATACTCATGTATATATACTTTTATAAAAACTCATCAGAAGGAATGTAAAACAAATATCAGTAGAAGTTCTTATGTTTTCTTTCCTCACTCCAACAAATTGCTTTATAACCAGACCACTGGCTAGGGTATCCGGGTGGCTCAGTAGGTTAAGCATCTGACTCTTGATCTAGGCTCAAGTCATGATCTCATGGTTCATGAGTTCGAGTTCCACTTGGGATTCTCTCTATCTCCCTCTCTCTCAAATAAATAAATCAACTTTAGAAAAAATAATAACTAGACCACTGGCTGAAAATGCACAGCTTGTTCTAGAAGCCTTGGTAGGAACAAGGTTTTTCCAGGGTAAGTTCACTGAGTGCACAGGACCCCCACTCACCCATTGACTCACTTCCTTCTATTAATCCTGTCAAAGTGACTAGCTTTATACTCTTAAGGGGTGCTTGGGTGGCTCAGTCAGTTAAGCATCAGACTCTGGCTAAGGTCATAATCTCATGGTTCTTGAGTTTGGGTCCCGCATTAGGCTCTGTGCTGACAGCTCAGAGCCTGGAGCCTACTTTGGATTCTGTGTCTCTCCTCTGTCTCTGCCCCTCCCCTGCTCACTCTCTCTCTCTCTCTCTCTCTCTCTCTCTCTTAAAAATAAACTCTTAAGAAAAAAATTAGAATCAGACACAGAATGATGATTTGAAAGGCTTTATTTCCAGAGGAACCAGCTTTTTATGGTCACACTAGATGCTGTATTATACTCCACATGAAAAGAACTAGACTTCCAATTATCCTGTAGGGTAAAGAGAAAGGCACAAAGCCACAGCACATCCTTGAAGCATGCCAAAGTCATATAGTAAGGAAGAAGAGAGTTTTATCTTGCAAGGCCATAAACACTGAAAAAATTAATTTTTCATTCCAGAAAATCAGCCATCATCAACACACACTTTGCAAAATATTTAAGATTTGTGATAATAACAAGTACTGCAGTGGCACTCCGTGTGGTTCTCCACTTTGGCATTTCCCATTACTGTGGCCTAAAGAGAAAGTGGGAAAAAGGTGAATGGGTAGTTGGATGGATGGGCGGACAAAACTGAAATGCTTGCTACATTTGTACATTCTCCATATCAGCTAATATTTCATTCTAGAAGATTACGTTTGCACTATGTATGTATGCTATACTCTCTTCCAACCTACCCATCATCACCTCCGCAGCTCTTGCTTTCATTCTGAATAAATCCAGCCTGTCCCCGCAGGTTACTCTTTTGATTAAAGGGTAGAGGTCTCTGTACAAATGCCCAGCGAAGGTGGGTCATTAGACCCCTCTGACATTAAACCCCATGGACGTGTTCTGGGGACATTTATCTGACTGGACTGTTAGAAAGCTTCTGGGGCCCTTCAAGTTCTCACCTTGGTAAAGGCTTTGGCCACACAGCATGTGGCTTCTGAGGTGATGTTCTTTGGGACCAACATTGTCTTCTTGGACCTTGCTGGAGTGGGATATGCTCTGGAGAAGCAGCAGCCCATGCACTGATAAATTGGGGCACCCAACTTGGAGAAGTATTTGTTTTCCTTTAGCTTGCATTCTGGGCACCCTGTCACCAAAAAAGGCAAAGAGCACAATAATCCAAGGATGACTCAAAAAGAAACTGAGGAACGCCTGGCTGCCTGTGACTCTTGATCTCAGGATCATAAGACCAAGCCCCACCCTGGGCATAAAATTTACTTTAAAAATATTTTTTAAATAAAATTTTAAAGAAATAAACTGAATTTTTCCTTATTATGGGATTGTAAATATTCTTTTTCTATTGTAAATAAGAGGAAAATAATAAATACTGTTTGACTGTTAATCTTTATGCATATAATCTATTTGTATTGATTATAGTTATTTTCATAGGAAACAATTTTTGCAGATATGTGTGCATACTACTCAAGAGCTGTAGTCTCTCATATAAACATTAAAGAAAGAGTAATAGTTTCTCTTTCTTCAACCATGGATTCTCTATCCCAATGCTAATGGCATGCCTATAAGGATCACAAAATTTGACAGATGAAAACACCATGTTCATCTGAAAGGAGAATTTTGCCCAGAGGCAAACTGTTTTCCCCTTTAGAATCTGTTATTGTTTTTTTCCCCGTGGAAACTCCAAATATTGACAGAGAAAAATATGTCAGAATTAAGAAAGCTTGGTGAATGTAGAGAGCCTGATATTAGATGGAGCACCCGCACTTGAGAACTGGGATTAAAATATTACTACTTGTCTAAGAAAAGCCATAACCAAGAGTAGGTCACAGTTTTGTAGCAGATGGACTTATATCAGCTACTATATGAGATTTTTCAAACAATACAGCAGAATAAATGTACTGAACAAAATGGTTTTGTTTTTCTCACTTGTTAACTAATGTGAAAATTCACCAGCAAAACTGATGTTGAAATCTTCTCAAATCTTCCGGGAGAAATGTAAAAAAAAGAAAACAGAAAAACCAAACCAAACCAAACAAAACTGAACTAACTGAATAAGGAGAATTTTCTGCTTGTAAAACTCAGATAAAGAATAACATGGAATCTATTTTAGATGAAGATGTACATGCTGGTATTTAAATGGACATGTTAGATAAATTTTACTATACATTTTCTGAACCTAATTTAACTTGATGTTTACAATCTAAAACTGCCTAGGTATGCACCCAGCAGCAAAGGTTTATCACATTTGAAAAGGAAGTAGAAATGTAGTTAATGGAGTTACTGATGTATATCTAGAAAAGTGTTTTCCTCATTGCTGCAAATCTGTCTGGTCACATACCCTGCACTGTAAACTCTCCATCAGGAAAAGAATGGAGAATATGCAGAAACACAGAGAGTATGGCCAGAATGACAGCTGCATATTTTCTGTAGTAATTCATGGCTCTCCTGCAAAACAGAAAAGGAAAAAAAGTTACTCTAAATTGGCTTACCAGTCATAACAACGACTAGTAGTTTTAACATTTCTATGAATAATAGTCATCAGTGTCTTCACCCCTCTGCTTACAACTCCTAACAAACTCTGGAGACAGGTAAAGAAAAAAATTTTTTTTCCTAAGGAAAAAGCTAAAGAATTGAATCTTTCCATTTCTCATATTAACAAATACAATTGGGCTTGATGCTAATAAAAAAATTCTCTTTTTAAATATATCATTCTCTTAAGTCTCAGTGCCCTTATCTGTAAGACATGAAACTTAAACTAGATAATACCTAAGAAGATAGGTAGACAAATAATAGATGAGAGATTGATAGATAAGCCCATATAAAAGAAATAAGTTTATATACAACGTATAAATTGTACAAGCAGTTGAGTTCATCCTTCCCATTCCTATATTCTCAGGTATGAGAATAGAAGGAAAGGACAATGTCTGTCCTGCTTTTTATCCACTGGTGGCAAATGAGCTCTAAGACTCATTATCAGTGTGCAGCAGGAAATGTTAGCCTAACAATGTGGCAAGAGTAGACAGCAGGGAATATTGATCACGGTTTTCCTAAATGCACTTCTTGATTATTTATACCTGTAGATACAGCTTTACCTAAGCATTTTCAGTGCCTAAGATCAGGCTAGCCAAGGCCAGCCTATGACTGACCATATCCAGCACTGACATCACTGCACCTGGGAATGGGAAGACAAGGAATTGGACTGTGTCTCCACATGTCCTAGAAAACTTTCATGTAAGCTTAAATGGGCAAGTTTATTCCTATTTTTAAAGTGAAAGTGTTATGGATTGTCCATGTTCAAACCATGAGAGATAAGATGAACAGAGCATCAATTACCAATAAAAAGACAATTCAGATTATTTAAAGGAAAATTAAAACCAACTTTACAGAATCTGTTTTACAAAATAGAGGAGGAAGGAATAGTTCCCAACTCATTTTGTGAGACCAGGATTATGGTCTGATACAAAAACCAGACAAATTAAGAAAGAAAGAAAAGAAAAAGAAACAAACAAAGAAACAAACAGAGAAACAAACAAAGAAACAAAGAAACAAAAAAAAGAAGTAAGGAAGACTAGTATACATCATGAAATTAGATGCAAAAATCCTAACAAAATAATAGCAAGTTGAACCCAGTAATGTATAAAAAGATTTATACATGACCAACAGGGAATAATTCATATATGCAAGGCTGGTTCAATATTTGAAAATCATTTAATACAATCTACCATATCAACAGGATAAAGAAGAAAAAATCATATGATTTGTCAGTCGACAAAGAAATGCATTTGACAGCATTCACTATGCTTTCATAATAAAAAGTTTCAGAAAACAAAATGGTTTTCTCAACTTGATGAAGAGCATTTATACAAAACCTGCAGCTAACATTATACTCAGTGGTGAAAACAGAATGTTCCCCCCACCCAAGATCAGCAACATGGCAAGGATGTCCACTTCACCTCTGTTATTCAGTACAGTACTGAAAGTTCCAGCCAGTGCAATATGGCAAGAAAAAGAAATTAAAGGCACACAAATTTAAAGAGAAGAAATATATCTTTACATGTAGAAGACATGATCATCTATGTTTAAAAAAAGAAAAGGAACTTACAAAAAAAGGTCCTGGAACTAAGCAGTGAGTTCAACAATATTGCATGACATAAGATCAATACACAAAAATGAATTGTATTTCTTCATACTTAAAAGAATAATGTAGAAACAAATTTAAAACACAATACCATTTACAATTGCTCCAAAGGAAAGAAAATACTTAACTATAAATCTGCCAAAATATATACAGGATGTTTATACTGAGAATTACAAAATACTGATGAAATAAATCAAAGAAGACCTAAATAAATGGAAAGACATATCATGTTAATGAATTGGAAGGCTCAACATGATAAAGATGTCAATTATTTCCAAACTGATTTTTTTGTTAAATGAAATGCCTATCAAAATCCCAGTACAGCTTTTATAGACATAGACAAGATTATTATTATTGAAAGGCAAAAGATCTAAAGTAACTAAAACAACAGTAGAAAGCAAGTGGGAGGAATCACTGTTCCCAATGTTAAGACTTAGTGTATAGTTACAGTAATCAAAACTGTGTGATATTGGCAGAGAGATAGATATATAAATGAATAGAACAAAATAAAGAACCCAGAAATAGACCTACACAAACATGGCCAGCTGCCTTTTGACAAAGATGCCAAAACAATTTAACAAAGAAATTTAACGTTTTTAACAATGGCTGCCTGTACAATTGGATACAGAAGCCCACCCCCCCAAAAAAATTGATGTAAACTTCATACCTTGTATGAAAGCTGAAATGAATCAAAGACAAAGTAAAATGTGAAACTATAAAAATTTTTGGAAACAAATGGGAAAAAATGGGGGACCAAGGACTAAATTAAGAGTTTTAAGAGTTAACAACAAAAATATGACCCGTAAAAGAAAAATTGACAAATTGGACTTCAACTAAATTATGGGTTAATCCTTTGTTAAGAAGATAAAAATACAGGGGCGCCTGAGTGGCTTAGTCAATTAAGCATCTGACTTTTGATTTCAGTCATGGTTCTGGGGACTGAGCCCCACATCAGGTCAGTGAGGAGCCTGTTAGGGATTCTCTCTCTCTCTCTCTCTCTCTTTCTCTCTCTCTCTCTCTCTCTCTCTCTCTCTCTGCCCCTACTCCCTCACTCATTCTTTCCCTCTCTCTAAATAAATAAACAAAGAAAAGGAGATAGAAATACAAGATACAAACTTGAAGAAAATATTCGCAAGCCACATATCAACAAAGGGCTAGTATCTAGAATATATAACAAACTCTCAAAACAACCCCCAAAAAACTCTCAAAAAAAAGTTCAATTATAAAATGGGTGTTGCATCAGAAAGAATATATAGATGGCAAATAAGGACATGGAAAGTATTCAACATGATCAAGCCATCAGTAACATGCAAATTAAAACTTCAGTGAAATATTATACAGCAACCAGAATAGCTAAAATAAAACATAATGATAATACCAAATGCTGGCATGGATACAGAGAAGCAGGATAATTCAAACATTGCTGGTGGGAATGTAAAATGGAAACTCATTTACAAGTTTCTTATGAAACTTACCATATAACCCAGCATTTATACTCAGGCATTTACATCAAAGAAAGGAAAATTATGTTCATATAAAACCTATATATGAAGGTTCAGAACAGATTTATTTATAATAGCCAAAAACTGGAAACAACCCAAATGCCTTCAACAAATAAATGGTTATACAAGCAGTGGTACATCCACACCAACGAATACCATGTAGCAACTAAAAGGAACACATTATTGATATAGATGGATGTATCTCCATGTAACATGGATGGATCTCACTGATACTGTGTTGAGTGAAGGTTGCATACTGTATGGTTCTGTTTATATAACACTCTTGAAATAGCAAAATTAGAGAAAGCAGAATAAATTAAGTTTTAAGGACTTAGTATTAGGGAGGGAGTTGAGTGGGGAGAAGAATGACTATACAGAGGCAGCACAAGTGAGTTCTGGGGTAATGAAACAGTTCTGTCACTTGATTGTGATAGTTGCCACACTAATCTATAATGGTATTAAATTGCATGGAACTACACACACACTCACACACACATACACACACACAATACGAGTGAAATCTAAATAAGCTCTGTGGCTTGTACCAATGTCTATTTCCTGGTTTTCACATTGTACTATGGTTAGGCACAGTGTTATCTTTGGGAGAAACTGGCTAAAGTATACCCAGAACTTCTCTGTACATATTTTTACAACTTCTAAATCTATAATTCTTCAAAACAAAAAGTTTACTTTTAAAAAAAGGCATTCTAAAATAAAGTTTAAAATTGCACGAGTCAACATTTGTTGTTGTTTTTCATGTAGACTGACATCATGAGACTATATTTTTGCAAAAGGTTTATATCAACTTCTATATCTTTTAAGAAAAACTTGTGAGATGGCAGAACAGTTTATAATATAAAAAAACAAACTGCATAAATATAGGTAAGGCTAAAGCAAAGGAATATTATTATTTCTACCTGATGTATATACTTATACGTAAGTATTTATGGGATTTATTTCTCTTCATCCATAATTAGCACTAATTAAATATTGTTCTAAGTTGGTGGTTCTCAAAGTGTGATCTGGGGACTCTAAACACTTTTCAGTAGGTTTGTGAGGTGAAAATGATTTTCATAGTAATACTGAGATGTTACTGTTTTCACTCTCAGCCTCCCATGAGTGTTCAGAGAAATCTTCTAGAAGCTACATGACATGTACAATTGGTTAGTCATTGTTAAACAATCAACAGATTGATTAACGATGCACATGAAAATCTAGCTATGTTCTATTAGGTCAATCTTTTTTAAAAATTATGAAAAAAATTATAATGCCACCTTTCTCACTGATTTTTTTGTTTTGGAAATGGTCATCAAAATTCTTTTAACATTTATTCATTTTTGAGAGACAGAGAGAGATAAAGCACAAGCAAGAGGTGGGGGGGGGGGGCGCAGAGAAAGAGAGAGACACAGAATCCAAAGCAGGCTCCAGCTTAGCTCCAGCTGTGCTAACAGCTCAGAGCCCAACACGGGCTCAAACCCATGAACCGTGAGATGGTGACCCGAGCTGAAGTTGGAGGCTTAACCAACTGAGCCACCCAGGTGCCGCTGGAAGTTGGCATTTTTTTAAATAAATATACATTTGTGTTAACATATGATAGGTTAATTGTGGTTGTTCCAAAATGAATAAAGGGGTGCATGGGTGACTCAGCTGGTTAAGCAACCAACTCTTGATTTGGGCTCAGGCCATGATATCACAGTTAGTGAGTCTGAGCCCCAAGTCAGGCTCCAGTGCTGACAGTGTGCAGCCTGCTTGGGATTCTCTCTCTCCCTCTCTCTCCCCCTCACCTGCTTGTACGTGCACACACT